CGCATGCATGATTCCAACTTCTTGTCAAAAAAAGTACTCTTCAAGATCTTTCAGCATTCTTCTGTTACAGTGCTTTGCGTTACTGCTCTATAATCACAAGTGACGATAGAATTAGATAAATATTTTCTTCAGATCTCTCCTCCAAGAAAAAAAACTACACATTACAGTAAGTCTGTTATAAAACTGCAGCACATGTTTAAGGCCCCTAAAAGCACCGATGCTGATAAAATTAAAAATGGCTGTGCCCAAAGATCCCACAGCAAAACAGGCACAGCTCTGCTGACGATTAAAATATATATTAAAAATTCCTGCATTACCTTTCAAAGGGCGAGGTATGCAAAACAGAAAGATTATATATTTTTCCAAAATTGAAATAAGTTATGAGACAAGCGAAGCAAATCTAGGCAAAGCATACATCTTGAATGCAAGTCGAGTTCATTTACACAATAAAGCAGATTTTATTTTCCGAGACGCCTAACGCATCGGGATTTCAAAACTTTTATCAGGCTTCGCTGCTGAAACAGACACACACCACTTTTTAAGGAGTCACAGATGTGCCCAAATACCAGCGGACCCCACCCCCCTTTCCTGTGCCAAAATGGCTAGTTCGTTACACCCACTGGCTACTTACCAGCCGCAGTGCTGAGCAGTAGGGTGGCACTGGAGAGCAAGAGCACCAGCACAAGGTGCTGCAGTGAGGCAGTCATACCTGGGGAAGCCAAGGATCGAGGGAGCAGGAGGAAAAAAAAAAAAAGAAAAAAAAAAAAAGGGGGGGGGCAGGAAAAAAAACCCCGACGAGAGGAATTTCCTCCTTCTTTCGCACAGCCGTCCTCAGCTCTCCCGGTTTACAATCCCGTCTGGAAGGGCAAATGGCAGATGAGAGGAGCCGTCTTCGCTCTTACTCCATTACACCCGCCTGCCTTCATGTCTCGGGAGCCGGCACCGCCGGGGAAGCGCCCGCTCCTGCCTCCCAGCCCCGAGGCATCGCCCCCCGCCGAGCACCGGCGGAGCTCCCGACCGAGCTGGGAACCACGCTCACTTCCCACGCAGCTTCACCATAGCGAAGGAACAGCCCGGTCGAGAAGGAAGCATATCCAGACGCGAGCCCGCGCCTGCAGCAATGTCAGTCAGAGCAGCCCCCCCGGACGACCGGGGCACGGGTAACGAGCTCTACGGGCTTACGGCAGCGCCGCCTCCCATCCCGTTAAAGGTCTCCGCTCTCTCGCCGGCCCCGTTCGCCGCCTCACGCTCCCGGGAAGGCGGCGGCGATCCCCTCAGTCCCTCCGCGGCCCGGCGCGACCCGCTCCGCTCTCACGGCGAGGGCTGCGGCCGCATCCCGGCCCATCCGTCTCCCCCGCCGGGCGGGCTCCACCGCGCACCCCCGGCCCCCCGCGCCACAGAAGCGACGCCACCTCCGGCCACCCCGACAAAGGTGGGGCCCAGAGCGCGGGGCGGCGGGAGGCGAGGCCCCTCCTCGGCGGCTCCAGCTGCGGAGGCGCCTGGCCCCGCTCTGCGGCGGCCCTTCCCCGCGCCGGGGGAAGGCGCTCCCCCTCCTCCTCCGCCTCCCTCCTTCAGCTTCCACAGCGCCAGGCAGCCCCCCCCGCCCCCGGCCTAGCCTCCTCCCTCAGGTCTCCGCTCGCCGCCGGGGAACGGCTCAGCCCCCTCCGCGCTGCCAGCGCTTTGCTTTCCTTTCCTTTCCCTTCCCTCCCCCCCACCCCCCCACCCCGGGCGCCGGGCTCGGCGGCGAGGGGCAGCTCCGCGCCGCTCCGCCTCCTTCCCGCGCTGGCCGCCGGCTGCGGGCGGGAGCCGAGGGCCGGAGGTCCGCCCCCGCCGCGGCTCGCGCCCCCCCACCGCCCGCGCCAACGGCTCCCCCAGCTCCAGACACAAAGGGGACTCGCTCCAACGGCCACTCCGGGCGCCCGGCCCGCCGCGCCACGCCCCTCGCCCGCCAGGCCACGCCCCCCGCCGTCAGCGGCCCTGACCATAGAGGTGGGCCTCCAGGTAGGTAGAGAAGAGCCCTCTCGGGCAGGGGGCGGGGCAGCCGCCCGCCATGTTGCGGGAGGGGGCGGCCCGCCGAAGCCTCCCGGTGTGTCTCGGGCGTCGGTAAGGGACGGGGAGGGCACCGGCGGTCGGAGGGGAGCTGGAAGCGGGAGACAGGCCCGGGGGAGGGCTCCGACCGACCTTCCCAGGAGGGCGGTGGGCGGCCGCCTAAGGGAAAAGCGCCTGAGAGCCCTGTCAGCAGGGGAGCGCGAGCTCGGGGGTCACATAAACAGCGTTTATCGGAAAAATCCGTTGCAGGCCCTGAGCTTGCATCAGGTTTGAACTCCGTGGCCTTCCTTTCAGAACCCCCGAGGCTTCTGCCTTGTTTCCTCCTTCAAGCGCCCCCGTTGAGCTCCAGCGCCGGCAATGCTACCTCACTCTTCTCGGGGAACCCAGGCAAGCCCACCCAGCTCACACGGCTCCAGCCACCGGACTCTCCCAAGCAAAACCACTATTTGCCTCTTAAAGAGATTTCTAAACAAAGGTAAAGTCGAGCCGCTGAGCTGTTTGTATGCTTTAACCTTTGCTATATTGCACAGGACCAAAGGTAATTGAGGCCTGCAGCTGACAGGAGAACTGTGACTGGAATATAGTGTCTGAGGTTCTGTCCTAGCAAGGCTCTTTCAAACAAATTTTACTGTGTGTAACACAGCAAAAGGTTCCTAAAAGCATCCTGCACACAGAAGGCACTGTCATACCTGCTTCTCCAAAGGGTCGATTGTGAGAAATGCTCCCCTGTGCCTTAATTCCTACACCAATTTCAAGAATATGGTACAAGGAATACAAATCTAAAAATCCAATTTTGCACCTCAAAATATTACATGCTACTACATAAAATAGTGGTTGCAAATCAGAGTTATGACCTTAACGATAATAAAAGGCTTCTGCATAACTCCATTCCTCTTCACAAGCTGTAACAGGTGAAATAGATGTAATCCAACTCTTGCATCATCAAGAGAATTATTAAATAAATTGTAATAGGATTTTTATCATTATGATGCTTTGGCCAGAGACAGTTTGACATTTCTAGGGTCAAACTGAGTTTATGTGGCTGATAGTTCTAAAAATGTTTTAAAAGTTTGCTACAATATCTTCCAATCTATGCAGATCTAACACGGGTATTCGTGAGGGACAATAAAATATAGAATCCCAGATTGTAATTCATATTGCCACTTTCCAGAACTGCAACCACATGTTAACCACAGTATCCTTCCTGTTATTTGTGGAATGTGAACTGTCAAGAAATAACCTTTAGAAGACACAAAAAACACCAACAAAAAAAAACACCCAACCACTAACAAACAGAATAGTTTGTTTTCCAAGAGAGGGCAAAAACCCCAACACTGACTATTTTTTGTGGACCCAAAATCCAGTGTTCTTTTCTGGTTCAGCAAAGACACTGAGCTATGTGACATACCTTCTGCCCAGCTGTACCTACCAATAAAAGAAGTGAGATCAACTTTGTTCACAAGAAAACAAGAACCTTACTGTGTGGGTTGCACAGCACTTTCACTGTTTAGATGGTAAAAGAAAATTACTGTAATTGTTTATGACGTGTATCAAAACCTGCTCAGCCTGAAGTAAATGACAGAAGTCTCTCTTGTTTTAATAGTTCTAGTTCTGGCTTATTCATTAATACCAGGAGTTCTTCACAAGAAACTGTGCAAAACAGATATTCTGCTTTAAAATACTTTTATTTTTTTTCTCTCCACAAAATGGATTAGATTGTTGTTCTGTGTTTTCCTAGAAATAAAGAACAAGACGTGCCAATTTTTATACAATTATTTCCTCTCAATTTCACAAAGACCCAGACCCTGATCAAGAAAACACGCTTCTGAAGGCCGTGAGGCTGTGGATCTGCTTCCCCTGAGCTTGTATCAGGTCCTTGGACTAATCTCCCAGACTCACACCCCCAGCAGTTTGCAAGACGTTATTCTCCCTCCCTAACCCATTTTGAATTTGGCAAAAGACCTTCTCCTCAAGGGCCGGGTCCCTCCTAGCCCGGTGCGACTGCAAAGGCTGCGAAGGGCCCTTGGCCACACACCGATGCCAGGCTGCAGAGCAGGAGCTGCTGCACCCCTCTTTCTCTGGAGCTAGCAGGGCTGAGGAGGGGCTGACCCCTACTTCACCACACAGATGTAGGAAGTAATCGTTGCTGTCTAAGCACAGAAGCAGCTTCCTTTTCCCACGGTGGTGGGAGGAAATCGGAGATCTAAACTGTCACTCTCCAACTCACTCTGTTATGTGCTTGGACTAGAACATATTTATAATTCTTTCTGTGATGTTGTTTTATCTGTAAGCTAGGATTTTGCTAGCCTAGTGTTCAGCAACATCAAGTAAGACCCACAGAAGCATACTTGGGATAATGAAAACTCGCAGAGCTGCAGCACGGTACATCTGTGGTGCGGGTTCAGGTAAAGGTAACGGGAAGAAAAGAGAAAAACCTGTAAAACTTACCAAGATTTAAAAGAAAATATTCTGACTAAAGCACTCTATTTCCACCAGTAAGAACTTCACCCAGCAAAAAAATATTGAAGTTAACAAAGACTGTTAAAAAACAGAATGAGGAGAAAATACCTTATGCAGTAGATGCTTTTTCACAACAGTGTTCACTGCTCTCAGAGCCAGACAGGGGCAGGCCTGCGCCGGGAAGGCAGCAGCAGAGAAGCTGGGGGACGGTGGCTGCAAGCCCCCCCCCCAGATGTCAGTCTGATGTGCACCAAGGCAGTGGCAGGGCACACGTGTCACCCCTGGGCGAGGGACCTTTGAATGACTCAGCTACATGCAGCACACTGGGGCTGCCCCTGTGCTTGAGGGAGGCACAGAGATGAGAAATAAGGCTGATAGGCATCTCAGATGCTTCCCACTGTCAGTCATACTGATGCAAATGCAAACATGTTGATATCACTTGCAAATTCAACACTACATAGGTGAAATGAAACATGTCCTTATTAGCAGAATCTCCTTTAAACAACACACGTCTTTATTTTTAATTACCTGGAATACAGAAAACTATTTTCATGCTTCCAAGAGAGTATTCCAATGGAAAATAAAATGAACAAAGGATAAAGAAAACCAAGATGAACTACTAAACAATAGTTTTAGCCCTATTTCTTCTTAGAAAATGCAAGGTTCAGGCACTTTAAAAAGATTTCTCAGGATAGGTTCACTGGATAATTATCCAAGAGTTTTTCAGTGCTGAGGCAATGTAACTTATCATTGTTAGGACTCAGGGGACTACTCTTTTTGACAGGGCCTTTCATGAAGTCAACAAATCAGTTTAAAACAAGCCATAAACTATATTTGGCTGCCCATCAGCTTGGCCAGAGTGTTCTCTCAGTGCTGTCATAAGTGTTGGGGAAAGAGGATAATAACACAGTCCAATGTTTAGTTTTTAGGGGATATTTTACTCCTAATTTAAAAACAAAGCATCCCGATAGCACTGACTCTGATGCATAAACTTATGTTAGAACAGCAATCAAGATGTTCACAGACTTTCCTAGAAATAAATACACCCATTCTGGATCCGAAGTAATAGCTTAATAAATAATGGATTTGGTACAGGTCTTCACCACAAATGCCTGCCACTCATTGCTAAATTAGGGAACTGTCAGCAAGATCATCTCCCCAGTCTTGCTTCCTGTAACAGTACGTGGGGAGAGAGGTGGTTTCTGATAGCCAAGATCCAAGCTTTATATAGCTCTCTAGATTATTATTAACATTCTGAATTGCAGCCAGAGCGAACCGAAAAGACAATACTGTCTACTTACAGTCTGCTGAGTTAGCAGCTAAAGCTTCAGCCAATGCAGCCCAACAAGTAATCACACGCAGACGTCATTACCTTCGGAAGTATTCAGTTACTTGTTTTATATAGATTTTCCCATCACAGAGGTATTAACACACCCCCATAAATCCCCGTGGAGTTAGAGGTCAGAATAGCAAGGGTGTCTGTGGGAAGACCATAGAGTTACAGAGATGTGGGCACATGATATGCAGAAAGAAAATTGGTGAATTCTCCAGGGACTTCAGAAGCAATCTGGACCCAGAAGTACCTTTCTTCATCATGGACACATTTCCTTGGGAATAGAAGGCACCAAGCCCTTCAGAGCCTTCCCACAACCTGTCAGCATCACTTTCACCTTGTCTGAATCAGTGCCAGTTTCTGCTCCTTCTCCAGGGCTTGGCTTCATCTTGGGAAAACAGATTCCACAAAAGAGGGACAGAGAGTCACCAAGCTGTGACTGAAACCCCAGAAAAGTCCTTTGTGGGGGAAAGTCAATTCCTTTCTGTTCTTTCTGACAGTCAGTCTGCCCTGCCAAGACGCAAGACTGGCAAAAGCTCCTGTGGCATCATATACCAGAGCAGGCTCTCATGTTTGCAGTTCTACCAACAGCCTTAAGGAAACGGTAAATCAAATTCCTTGCCTCAGAGGGAATTCGTTTCCCCTTTAGTCAAGTAAAATAATCTGTGCCAGACATTACTTTCGGCCTTTAGACTCATAAAAGTCCATCTCAAGGCTGTTATGACTTAATTTTTCTTTGTCTCTGAAACACAGAAAAGAACACCAACCACTGAGCCTTTGAAAAAAATATAAACATTTGCGAGTGTGAACTAGTAACTGTTTGCAGCCCTGGGTTTTTCTAACTCTACCATGTTGCTGTGTAATCTACCTCCAGGTGAACCATGCTCTGCAACGACATCATGACAGTCCATGGCTTCATTATCCTACATCGGAAGAGTTTTGTGGCAGCTTTTGACAGGAGACTTTTAATTAATTTAATGCAAAAATTAATTGCATTACTTTTGTGGCAGTCCATGGGAAGATTTATTTCAATATTAAACTTCTTTTCTTTTATGCAGGTCTCCTATTCCCTGGTTTTGGTATAGCGAGTGGCTTCCTATGGGGAGCCCATAATTGCATGATTGAAGATGCGAGGGTCAAGCCTGGAAACGTAAGCAGGCGGGTGTGGAACAGGTAACCTTTCGGTGCTAAGGGAGAAGGAGGAAGAAGATGCATGCTGTGGGATAAACACACAAAGGCAACATCTTGTGTCTTAAAAGGATTAGCGGTCAAATAGTTAATAGACATTTTCACATTTCATGATACACTCTGCTTCCCTGCGATAATGAGCTACCAACAATGTTCCTAGCAGTCCCTGTCTTGTTTTAGAGATAACACTGCTTAGTCTGTGGAAACTTTATCTCCATTTTGAGGGTGGAGGTGAGAGAAACTTTCAAGCTAGCTCTGAGAAGCACCTCCCACTTTGAATTAAGTTTGAAATTGTATGTTAAAGGCCCTTTACAGCTTGCCTCAATCTCTTGGCTTGTTCATCACAACATAAAATGGGAAATTTGCTGCAGGGTGTTTATCAGTTCAAAACATCACTTGTTCATTAAATCCAACAATGGACTTAGTCAGAAATGGAAATGTAATGAGTTATGTCAGAATCATCTTCCGGTCCATAGCAGAGGGGTATGTCATCGCCACAGACCTGCAGGGCTTCATTCCTGAGAGCGACCCGAGCCTTCTCACCCTCATGACAGGCGGCTGGGAACAGAGCTCATGGAACCTCCAACACGCTCTCCTCCTACTGTTACCTTCCTTTTTCCTTCTGGTTTGGGGGTTGGGTTTTTTTGCTGCTGTTGTTTGGGGTTTTTTTAATCCCTCACTACACGAGCTAGCTGGCAGTGCAAACCAGGTTGGTTTTCAAAAGCCACCTTTTTCCTTTTTGCTCTTTTGATTTCTCACAGACAATTAGACCTAAAAATCAGCTTGCTAGAAGCATCTTCTAGCAAAAAGCCAGTAAAAATGTCCCTTGAGAACAAAAAAAGTCTCTGGTAAAACCTTGGTGGACCTGCACTCAGTTTGCCATGGCAGAGGGATGGAGAAAGCAGCCTCTGTGTGTGCTCATCGCTGGCTGTCCTTGAACTCCATCATGCCAGCTTGACAAGCATCAGACATTCACCTAAAGGAGAGAAGCAGTGTCCACAAAGTGCAGTTGTTACTCGTTATTTTAAATGACGAAATTAATGGCAAATCAGCCGTATATGTAACCACACTCCAAATGTTCTAAGTGGTGGCAGCAGTGGCACCATTCGCCCCTGGGTGACACCGGGCCGTGGAGGTGTGAAGCCTCAGTGTTGCTCCACTCCCCAGAGAACCCATCGTACCCCTCGAGTGGCTCTGACATACTCCTTGCTGCCTGCCCAGCCTGGAGGACTGAGAGGGATGAAGGCACAGTCAGGGTTGCATTTGTCCCCTACCTTTTTTCATCCTTTCTTTGGGAGATCCTTTGCAGCTGTGGTTCTCCTCTGAGGCTGCTGTTTTGGCCAGTCATTTGGCGTAACAGGACACACATGGCCTTCTCTCCATGTCTTCCAGCAGCCGCAGTGCAGCCCTCAGCCCCTGCTTGCTGCCTTGGTCTCTCCCAGTTTCCTTTTCAAGGAGTCAGCAGCAGCGTCGAGGGAACAGCTTTTGCTCAGGCTTCATACAACAGTTCCCCTTTGCAATGAGAAAGGATGCCTCAAATATGAACCCAACAGCAGAGCTGCTTCATGTTCCATCTTCTCTTGCAAAGGCAAAAAACATCAGAAACAGAGAGTTAGAACTGCAGCGTTTTTTAACTCGGGGCTTGCTGCTGCTGCAAGCACAGTGGCAGAGGACTGACCTCTCTCGGGGCCATCACTTCCAGAGGAAAGTGCTGCTCTGGGAGTGCCTGCTCAGCGTTCCTCTCCTGCATGCGGCCAGCTCCAAGAACGTCACCTGGACAAAGATAAAAGTAGAAGTATTACCTTTTACTGTATCAAACAGGAGATTTCTATCCTGTATGCTTCTGCCTGTAACGTGACATCTGTTGCCTAAGAATTTTGAAACTTATTTTTATCTGCAAAGAATGTTCCTCCCGATCAAGAAATGAGTCAGTATCTCTGTAAGGCCTGCTTGCCTCTCATAGATCGATTTAGAAACATAAACCAAACTAACTGCTTCCCTGAAAAATCCATCAGGAATCGTCTTGTTGAAGTGATACGGACCAGACCACCAGCTCCAGCCACTGGCATCAGCCTCAAGTTGTTCAGCACGCAGCAGCCATTGAGGGCACAGTCGCTCCCTTCACCCCACACTATTGACAGTCATTTGAAATTGCAGAGGCCTAAAAAACTTCAATTCACAAATGAGAACCAGGTTTCCATAGGCCATTTCCAGAGCACAAAATGGGCTGTGCAAGACTTACATATGTGGCTCAGCAGGCACAGACAGCCCTCGGACTCTGTGAAACCTCTACCTCTGCTTGCAATTTCAGATTAAAAGGCACAGATGTAAATGAGGATGGAGGAACAAGTGAGCAGAGACTTTTAAAGGAAAAATTGCCCTCTGTTTCCATAGCAAAGAGTTTGTAGTTTTTCTATAGATGAAAGCTCATCAAAAGCAGGAAGGACAATCTCACAGAAAGAAATGCCATGTGAGGTGCTTTATATTGCATAAGTTTGAAGGAATTTTTCCTTTTTTTTATTTCCCCCCACATTTGCCACAAAATAGTTGTGATGTTTTACGTATCGCTTTTCCCCTCCCTTCCTTTCCTCTAGCCTTCACCAAGTTCAGTAAAATCAGTGTCTGAGCAGAACTTCCCCTCTTCAGCATTTTTTTCACTTTCATTTTTGTATTAATTTACTTTTAACCATCCCCTCAACTTTGGAGAAGTTGCATTTAGCATAAGGAAAAACCACCCACCCTGTAGCCTCTGCCCTGATAACTTTGCTGAAGCTCTCACATCCCCAGTGGCAGCAGAAGAATGGAAGGGGTATGAAGTGAGGGCATACAGAAGCACAGGCCCTGAACTAAATGTTGAACAGAAAGAGGAGGGAGGTGGTGGGCAGAAGAGAGAAGAGCCAGGGAGGGAAGGGAAGAGAGAAAAAGTTACAGGAGAGGGTTAAAGAGGTTGGAATTTGCATTTACTGATTTAACAAAAAGGAGGATGCAAAACTCAGACCTCTAATACCTGTGACCAAACCACCCTGTGGCTTATGATTTTACTGGGAGACAGCTATTTGTACAGTAATGGAGTTGCCGGGTGATGCTGTCCCCACCAGAGCTATAAGGAAATGGGAATAGAGCAATAGGAGGAATCCCACAGGTATGGGGAATAGGTCAAAAGCCCACAATTTTGCCTTAAGAAGGTCCTGATCTGTCTGCCCAGGAGTCCTCCCCCAGGGGATCTCCCATCTGTGCCTGAAAAGGAATCATGTTAAGGCAAAGGAGCAACGGTGAACACCTGAAATCTTTCAGACATCTTGGGATAGGCAGCCTTCACTGCACCCATCTGCCTGGAAGGGCTGAAGATCAGTGCATGCAACAGGGGGTGTAGGATGGACAAAGAAGCAGGTCCCCGCAGAGGCCAGCACACAGACATGACCTGCTGGCAGCCCCATCAGTCATCCCCCTAGCTCCCTCTGGCCACCGAGCAATCCGCACTCCAGCGGCCCACAAACCCCCTTCTCCCTTGAGGCAGACTCTAGCCTCCTCTCCTTCCCCTGATCCCTGGCCCACCCTCCCCAGGTCCCTCACCGTGGTTTTGGTCACGCCCCTGACCAGCACCACGCTGGGACAGCGCTCCCCACCTGCCCGACAAGACAGAGGCAGAGCTGAGCAAAGGGGCTGCCCATCACACAGCCCTGCTTCAAACGTCCCCACATTCGGATAACCAAGTGCAGGCACCTGCAACTGCTGCAGAGCCAGAGCTGGGCTTCTCCTCGCCAGCCCACAGCTGCCCTGCTCCTTTAGCCCGGCCCCAACAGATACAGACACAATGATGCGACAGGAGGGTTAGCAGCAATGTTTCTTGGGGGACAGAAGACACCCCCAACCCTCCACTCACCATGCGGACATTGCTGCACTCAGGTGCAACTGGAAAAGGCTCAAAAGTTTCTCAGTGCCCACCCCCAGGAGCAGGTCCCTCGGGTAGGCTGGCAGATAATCCTCGCCTCAGAAGGAAACAGCAAGTCCCATGTTTCTCTCAGCTTCGCCAGAAGCTGTAAAGCAGATTGCTCGTGTCCTCCACTAGCGTTCAGACCTCCCCTGTGTGTTTTGTTGATGAAATCTCTCACCCCAATTTGGGAGATAGCGGTGTTTGCTAAATATGCTCTGCCTTGCTACCAGAATTGCTTCTGACCTTGTCCTGTCTTCTTCTTGGCGTTTGGCAAATACTTATCAGTGCTCACAGTGACCTCCAGCCAGCTGGGCAGAAAGCTTTGGAGCCAAACATGTGCACAAATAATTCCAGGGTCAGCTGTTACTACTGTATTATCTCCTCCTGTGGTTTCTACAGATACCAATAGTTAGTAAGTGCCGCAATTTGCAGCCCCTTTCCCTTTAGCACACCAGGGAGCATATTCCTTCAACTCATGGCCATTAAACCCATTTCAACAATGGGGGCCTTCAATCTGGTATTAGCCTGTGTTGCCAAATGTATCTTACCCTCAGATGAAATGGAGCCCAAAACAGCTGAAGCCACAGATCACAGAGCAGTCATCTTTAGTGGAGAAGGTCACCATTTAATCACCCTTCCCAAATTAAATGGAACAGAGGCCACTGTGCATATCCAAACATAGCACCCTCTCTCTTCAACATCTCTGGCCTCCTGCAGCTCAGACGCAAGGTATTTTTTCACCCTGATGTGTAGAGGTCCAAGCCTGATCAGAGTTCATTCAACCTGAAGAGCAGCAATGACTATTCCAAAAAATGAGACTGTTATGGCTAAAGACTATTATGAAAGCCTGTGTGAAGCTGAGGCCAGATGTGCTCTTGGCTCACTCCAACTGTTGCTTAAAGCAGAGCCCTGGTTTGTTTTGGTTTTGTTTTTTTAAGCAAAACAAAACAGAGGATTGACAGGAATTAGGCCCCGTCTGTAACAAGAAAGACTTTCTGATGTTTTTCTGCACTGCCATTACAGATGTGTAGCAGGGCTGGGAGCACACACACTCACCGACAGTGCTGCAGCAGCTGCCAACCTGCCAGGGCACAGCAGCTCTCAGAGGGTGGATGAAAACGTGAAAGGAGCCCTTACATGACAGGATGGCAGTGAACGGGGGTGCCGTTCCATTTAAGTTCAGCTCCAAGATTCAGCTTCTCACCTTTGGGACTTTCTTAGTGTTTCAGTAGGATGCTCTGAACCATCCCCTGGAAATCAGAGCAATTGCATGGCTATGATCATTCTTCACCTTCACAACAAACCTTTCATCAGAGGATCTCAAAGCAACTTGCCAGCAAGAACAGGGACATCCTCACACCATGCCTGTGACATAAGCGAAGGATGGAATAGATTAACTGCTTAAAAGCACACAGCAGCTCTGTGGGATGAAGAAGAAATAAGAAAAACATATATACGTTTGAAACTGCACAGGGTTTTATGGAGAGGCAGCCTGGAAGGCTGCCAGGATGCTGAAATTGCCACCCCTATACAACCACGAATACCATGGAAACCAGCAGGGCACTGGCAGGCAGAAAAGGAGATCAGCTGAAAAATGGCTTTCCATGAAACACAGCCAGGCTGGGACGCTGCTCCCCTCCTGGCTGAGGGAGGACTACGTGCCCAACCACAAGTACTGCTGCCAGTGGGAGCAGGGCTCCAGGAGGGAGTAATTCCCAGTAATTTTCCAGCCTGGGGTAATGTTGCTTTCCTGGTGGCAGCCAGTGGATGACAGTAGAAAGTGGAATGGCTGAAGACTGCTACATCATGTCAGCTGTAGCACGGAGGTAATGGAAACCCCGAGTGCCAGGTAAAGCTTCGATATGTGCTGGGAGGTGTAGGAAGATGAAAGTAAGTTGACACCTGAATGAGGACAGGGAAGAAACATGCACATGCAAGCTCCTGCATGCCCTGTCTGGTGAGGCATGATAAAGAGGCATGAAGCACTCAACAGTAATAGTAGTTTTCCCCCCAATACTGAGAAAGCTAAAAAAAAAAAAAAAAAAAAAAAAAAAAAGGATTCCTTTAAGCTGAGCAAAAGCAAGGAAAGGAAAGAGGCCTGGAAAACAAAACCAAAAATAACAAATGAAACTGAATAGAACAGGAATAACAAAAATAAACAAACCCAGACAAGCAGTGGGGGAGGAATGACCATACTGCTAATCTTTCAACTACACCATGCACACATTAAACTACAGAGAAAGCTCAGAGAAATATCCATCCTCCCAGCTGGGCAAGGACACCTGCTTGTTACCAAAGAGCACACATCCCTTAAGAAGTCACACTCTTGGTAGGCCAAGTCAAGTGGAATCCAAGCGTAAAACAGCTGTACTCATTCAAAATGCTGCCAAGAGGAACAGCAGCATCTTGTGAGTAAGCTAGATACGGGACAACCAGCACCAGGCTTGGAAAAAAATAGCCCAGTGGAGACGAGCAGCAGGTAGAGACGGACACAAATCTCTCCCTCTGGCTCCCATCTGCTGAAAGGTGCAGAGGCCATCTGCTACAGACCCTAGGTGGAACAGAGGTCGGGGGAAAGGGGAGTATTTCACAGAAAAACAAAGAGGACTGAAAAACCAGAGAAGTAGCAGAGTGCTGCTGCTGCCACGCTGAAAGGCACAAAGCTAATGAGCCTCCCAGTAACCACAGGAGAGGGCTGGAAGTGGACGGGAGTGCTGCCACAGCCGGCCCCGATAAGGCTCTATCTAGGAACTGGTGAGGGCTGCACAGCTGGTGCAGCACTGCGCTCACAGCCTGGCCCAAGAAATGGGTCCGGAGGAGTGCGAGAACAACAGGATAACATCAGGCATTTCTCACGCAGCTGAAAGACCGCCGGTGGTCATCAGGAGACAAGTGCAGATGGGAGACTTTAAAGCAGTGCCAGAAAAAACAAGCTACAGCCAGAGTCGAGGAACATGGGATCCGACTCCTAGTTGTCAGCAGTTGTGGTGTATACATTGCTGAAAACAGATGCAGTGCCAGGAAAATCCAACTCCCAGCATGAAAAAAATAACTTAGGAATGATAATGAGAGAAGCCAAAGCAACTGCGACTGTGAATTAGTGATTACATAAAAGCTTTTATCTTAAAGTTATGTTAGGCCAAATTCTGAAGTCATTTTTTTCAGCCAGAATGCTCCCTCGAGATCCTGTGATTTGGCCACAAATTGCTAAATCTTAAAAGAAGAAAAAAACCTCAAAAAAAAGATTTTCTTTTTAAGCTAGCTGGCAATCCACAGCAGGCAATAGCCTCAACTTTGATTCAGACACTTCTCCAGCAGGTAGACGAAGTTCTCTGCTTTATGCCACCATCCCTCCATACAGCATAACCATGAGGCACAGGACAATTATCAGGATTTGCTCCCTTATGGGGCTACTAATTCAGGGAGGTGGAAAAATCAGGCTCTTCTGTATGAAGGGAAGCACATGTTATTCAAAGCTCCCTGAAACAAGTGAGATACAATCCGTATTGCAGTTCTTTCCACTGAGACATGTCAAATCTACTTCTGAAAAACTGAACATACAATAGCTTGGGTATTGCCATAAGGAAGTGTATCAGTCATCACTGCCCAACATGTGTTGTTCACTCGAATGCTCCAAGACCAGCATCACTACCTAAAAACCCCTGCGTTATTTTGTTGTTGTTTTTTTGTTGTTGTTGGGGTTTTTTGTGTTTTTTTTTTGTTGTTGTTTGGTTGGTTTTTTTTGTTGTTGGTTTGTTTTTTTTCCCCAATCTGTAATGTTCTTTGCTATGTCTGGGCAGAACAGCAACAAAGATGTCTTTTCAAAATAACTGACCTGGATTAAAAACCACCACTGTCTCAGTGGCAGACACACGAGAACAGTGAAAGGATACTCTCTCCAGCACTGGAAGCTTCATCCCATTCCCTAGGCATTACTAAGCCAAGCAGTAGCTCTAGGCTTCACACCTTGAGGCCTCTGTGCACTTTCAAATGGAGAATCTGCAAATCCCAGGTTCCAGTGAGTCCCAAAGAGATGCAGTCACACCAAGGCGCCACTTGCTTTCTGGCACCTCTATCTATCACGCACAGGAACCTTCCCTGCTCATGCTTTGGACTTGGCCTGCCGTAAGTAATACGCTGCCAAGCTGCAATTTCTAAAGAGGTATCGAAAATAACATGAGAAAATGATAAATACTTTGAGCAGCAGACATACCCTTCCTATGAAAGATGAGCTGCTGTAATAGCCCTTCCAAAAGCAAGGGAATGTGCTCAAATACCTGTCGTAAAATCTGAAACTAGAATGCTGCCCAGCCAAAAACGCTGGAAATAGCTCTTTCAAGTCATGCAAACACTTTGGAGTTTCTGAAACGAGAAATAGCTGGAAATAGTTTCAGATAAAAGAACCTTTCATGCCAGCTGGCAAAAGGCAAACAGATGGATAAGATAGATGGATAGACAGGGCTTAAAGCCACTTTTGTCTCAACAGTGGGCTGGGCTTGTATATGCAACGTCTGAAGGCAGCATATCACATCATCTGACCCTTAAATGTTAGCTTTATGAAATCATATCAGATGAAACCGCAGCATTCAAAAGCATCTCTCAGCCTGGCAGGACTCTCACCCTCCTCCCCCTCTGCCCAGCAGCACCTTCCATAGTCCCTGGGCTGGCTCAGTGCTCACACAGACCTTTGCCCCGCAGGTTTTCCCCCACCCTCAGTTCAGCAGTCCAGCCTGTCAAAGCTCAAGAAGGTTTGTTATGGCACAGAAAGTTTGCAAATATTTAGGCAAAACACTTTTTTTTCTCATAGTGCAACAGCAGCAGGGTGACTGCAGACAGCAAGAAACCAAGGATGCTGTGAAGGCTGAAAGGGAATCCCCCACCGAAACAGCATCTGATATGCTCTAACAGAAACTTAATGATAGCAGGATATGGTACAAACAAAAGAAACCAGGGTAAAGGAAGCGGGGCTTTTTTGGTAACCTGCACAGCGTGAGAAAGGTGATGTTTTGTTTCAGCTGCAGTTTTGGTGCTTGAATCAAAAGAGGCCAAACTGATCCACCTCAAGACAAGAATTATGCCTTGACTGATGGGGATGGGTCTGAGTGACGGGTTTGTGTGAACCCCAGCAGTCTGCTTACAGCCAGACACCCACTCCTCACCAGTTACTTTTTGTATAAAATGACTATGGTGGGGAGCTGGGATGTCGCCAGTGCTGGCAGCTCATTTCATGTGATGTTTGCCATGAGTGGCAAGGGCCACAGTCCCCGCCAGTCTCCCTCCAGTGACTCATCCCCTGGGACTTCAGTGGGTCGCTGCCAGCATGACATTCCGGCTCTGCTGGATCACCAGCCAAAGCCAACCCAGGGTCTCTCCAGCACCTCGAGTAGTGCAAAATGATTACAGAAATCTGGAAAGAATAAACTAAGTACATTGCACAGGACCAGGAGTAGTTTAACTTTCTTTTAGAACTTTGTTTTTTTGCTGTATTAGGACCACATGTCCCTGGACTTTTCATGTCAAAATGGAATTGCATAATGAATATTAAATATTTATCAAGAAATTTACAGCTCAAAGTGGTCTGCAATGACAGATCAAAAAAGAAAGTCACTTCTGCACCATTTCTATCCTCATTTTTTTATGACTCTGAATTCATCCTGAAGGACTTTAATATTCACCTTTATAGATGTTTCTGCTTTTCACGCCAGACATTAAACTCTGTCCCATCTTCTGCAGGAAGGCTCTGAGTTACCAAAAACATGGCAGGATTACGCCATCAAAGTTGCAACATCCAAGCCCTGATGTGACTCATCCCCACGTAAATGGGAAAGACCAAGATGTTCAGTCTGTGTCGTGGGTAGGTGCAGAGCCAGACGGTCTCCGCCAGTCCACGGGTGTGTGGGAAGCACATCCCCTCTACAGAGATGGCCTGGGATAGGCAAGGGTCTCTGCCACCCTCTTCCTCAGGTCCCTTTGTAGGGACAGTGGCACAAGTGGGCCTGCAAGCACACTGGGGCTCGCCTCGTGGTCGTCTCCCTCTCAGGTCAGGGCACTGGCAGTAAGGGAGTTACTCTCAGGGGGAATACTGCTTTCTTTGTTTATTTGCTTTCATAAGCATGTTCTGGAAAAAAACCTCCTTTGCATAAGGCACAATATCACTTTTTACCTAGGGTCTTTCAAAGACAAGAAAAACTGTCTTCTCTATATAAACTGCACAGCCAAAAATACTTTAGAGAGCACCCAAACTTCTTTGTTCATCTTAGAGAAGTAGTTGTCAGAAAAAGGCATCACCAAGCACACTTCTCTTTCCTGTAGGCATCATCTTGTGATGAATCACACAGCTCAGCTGAAGAGCATTTCTAAAGCACATCTATATGATGCAACGATGGAGCTGTGTCAAATTCAACACCTGAGTACTAGTTTTCAGAGTAAGAACACTCATTTTTGCTTTGCAGAACCAGCCCAGCCAAAAATATATATGAAGTTGGCCCAAACCTTTCCTCAGCACAGTGTGTGGGTGGCTGATGTGGGCCCCTGCCTGCTCTGCAGCTGCAGAAACCCCTGGCACTTCTGGTACATGGCTGGAGAGGGGAAAGGACACACACATGTCCATGCTTGCTCCTTATTTTCCTCCCAAGCCATCTCCTCAGCACACCAGGACCTTGGCCTTAAACGTCATTCTCAGCACAGAAACCTCACTGGTTGTGGTGGCTCAGGGTACTCTGCCATTAAAACAGACTGGCAGGTAAAGAAGCAGAGGCATCACTCTTCACCCAACTTCATGAATTTAGGGGAAGGTGATGGCAGGGAATTGCTGCTTCGAGGGACTTGCTCCAGCAAGGCAGTGTTCCCTACGCTTCCTACCATTGAGCTAACAGCACGGGGACCAGAAACAAGAGACATGCATTAAAAAAAAAAAAAAACACCAACAACCCCCCAAAAAACCCAGAAAATTAAGCAAGACCTGCATCTTTTGCATGCATGAAACACAACTATGGGTAGGCAAAACAGACCATTGCAGCAGTTTCTATATGTCAGGATTTCATGAGGGGATAGCAATCAGCAGCTGACAGCCAAAGGAAACCCAAATGTTTAAGTTGCATATTGAGCAAATTTGATTGAGAAATCAGAGAAACATAACAAGCACAAATTCTACTATTCTACATTCAGATTATTTTTTTAGGTTAAAAATGCACTCGAGTTCTTTTTTGTAGTTTCGGTCTCAGCAAAGGGTAGTAGTTCAGCTGTCAGGATCAGAGTTGTGAGCTCCAATGATTTATTGCAAATTTCATGCTAGCTGATATTTCTGACAGCCTGTAGACTCACATGATTAAATCAGTGTTTCAGTTTTTATCAGCATAAGTTTCTAAGATTTGTGCTAAAATAAAGGAAAATAAACCCTAAAAACGTGTAAACCAGCAGCCAGCCAAACCCCAGAAGCTGCTACCTGTGAAGCCACTGTCGATTTTTCAGTCGATCATACAGTATGGGACATAACGCTCAATTTTTCTTCCTTATCGCCTGGAGTTACTTTTCGATTGCACCCTAGATTGTGCTTTCAGATTGCACAGGTACATTTGGACTGTGCTGTTGTCACAGGCTTCGGTGCCCGTGGTGTCTGCACCCGTGACTCACCACACCACCACGAGGCGTTGGAGGATCCACCTCCACCGGGATCCAGTGAAGGCTGGTGCAAACCCCTTCCCGGGAAAACTGCGCGGTTCACACGAGACACGCCTGCTCTCGCTGCCTGTTGCTGGAAATCGGCAGGAGGCTCCAGGAAATGCCAGTTAGAAAGGGCTGGAGGCAGCAATAAAGTAAAAATAAATCCAAGCCTAGTGCATCAGAAGGCATTTAGTATAAAGGAGTATTTATGGTCCCGCTCTGTGCTTTATGCACGGTGTTTGACAAAGGTGGCCTTCCTAGACCTTTTGTTGGTAAAGCGATGCACAGCAGTTGGACTTCAGAAACAAAAGGTAAACGATCTGATAAAACAGATGGCTGGTTACTGAACAAGGCTCTAACCCCCACTACCAAACAGGTCATCCTGAGCGTTTGCCTATTCACACAGTCTTGGTGAGGCCATTTCAGTGCCTTTAAAAGTAAACAGAAAGGTCACCACTGATCATAACAAGAGTTGGATCCACCTGTAATGCTGTGTCCAGTATACTCAATTTCCTACAGGTTTTTCAAGAGACACGGAGCTTTTACAAGCCTTTGGAGAATTAAGACTTTGACTTGCAGCTACACTAAATCCACTATTCTGCCCCAGCAACAGTAACAAACCAAATATTGTGAGACTTTCAGACTGCCCTGGTCAGGCAGTACATCACTCTCCACTTTTTGCATAAGATGAAATATTTCCTGGTTTGCAGGGTGGGGTCGGGCAAAAGGAATGGTTCATTTTCTTGAATTAATTTTGGTGCTATTTGTCTATGCTTCCTTTAATAGTTTCAGATGCACTAGTTACCAGGAATATTTGCTTCAAGGCATAAGCAATGAAAGCTCTCAACCTGTCTTCCCCTGCAGGGTTTTAAAACCTCTTCTCCTGAAATAGGTGCAAGGCCCTTTCCCACAGATGCTCCAGAGCAGAACTGTTTTGATCACTAAAATACTAAAACCACAAACTCGGGGTGGGGGAAAAAAGATAAAAGGCCTTTCAAATCAAGCAAATGAACCAAGGGGGAAAAAATAGACACAGTCATCTCTCCTACCCATTTAATTAATAGCATTCCTCTCCAGAAACGGCAAGCACAGTGCAAACCTCTCGCAGTGCCTTTTTACAGCTGAGCTCCTGCAGCTGCCCCTCTCCTGCCCTCCCTGCCGGGACGTGGCTCTGCCTGTGCCCGTGCCCCTGCCAGAGGGCAAAGCCGGCAGTGGCAGTGGGTAGGGGAGCACACGGAGCGGCCGTGCTCCCCAACAGGGGCCTTGCTCCGGCCAGGTGCTTGAGCAGACAAGATATTGTAGTGAAAGGAACAGGACTGGTTGTTCTGCAAGATAAGATTGTCGGCCAGGGCTTTGTTGGAGGCAGCTGTGCAGATGCAGGAAGGAAAACAAGCTGTAAAGATGGTAAAAGGAGAAGGAAAAAAAATGCCCCACGGGAAGCAGTGCTGGTGCAGGAGACCAAGAGCTCCTCAGTCAGCGAAGGGCACGGTAATACAGAAACAAACCGTGAATAGCACAAGTTAAACAGCATCGTGCCCTGCCTTAGGAAGCCTCCTTGCCCAGACTGTTCTGCACCTCCCTGGGCAGCCAGCGCTGGGACAGTGTGCCAGGGACCTCGGCACAATGTGGGACAGCCCGCCTTGCCTACAAACTGTCCTGAGCAGGCACCTGGGACACTGGCTGCAAGGCTGCCTGGCACTGGGAGCTGCTTTGCTCACGGTGACAAAACCTACCCAGGAAACAAATTGTGGGGTCTGGCACTTCCCAGGCAGGTATAAGCTGCTGGCCTGGCAGGTGTTTCATTGGCAGCATGAAGAAAAGCATCTGGTGGCACAATTTGGAGGAGGATGATTAAATGCTGCTCCTGCAAAGCACAGCCACCCCAGCAGCCACATGGGCCCTGCTGCTCACAAACCAAGCACAACATGGACATGTCTGCGTTCATGTCCCCTTAAACTTGCTTTGGTTGCTTGGTTGTTTCTCCAGATTTAGCCTCCTATTGCATCTGGTCAGGCCCTGCATTCAATCTGTCCCATGGATGCAGAGCAAAGACCTTTACAGAGGGTCCATGGAGTCCCACCACTTCCTTCTCAATGGAGGTTTTGCTGCCTGGATGCCTTGCTTTAAGCAGAGCAAGGACTCAGTTAGAAATGCCTGGTTTCAGATTAGTCTGAGCTAGTCCTGCACAGCCCAGCCTTGCCTTGCCCATCCCCCTATCTTGAGGGCATTTTATGAAGTGTAGTTCCCTGGCTTGCTTATCTCCACCTGCTTCTGGTCCTTGCCCCATTGCCACAAGCCACCACAAAGGGAGGATGGAGTCCCCACCCGGACAGCAAGGACAGTGTGAGGTGGAGAGCCCTGGGGCAGCTGGGTTTTCCACAAGGAGGTGGGTAACAGCAATGCACAATGCGTCATTCCAGTTCTCCGTGGTCTGGAGGCTAAAACTAGCACCTGCAGCCCCATGGGAGCCCCCCTGAGAGCACAGGGAGGAGCTGTTGGGTTGGGACTGGCAGAATCCTGTTTGTATTCAACTGGCTGGTGATAAACTCAAATGAGCCAGATAAGACAGGAGACAAGATCATCCACACAACTTCCTGCTGCACTTTGTTTGCTTGACACATCTCGCAAGTAAAACCAGCACCTTGTCCTCATGTGGGTGAGCTGTGGTCCCTGGCACGCACCTGACCTCAAGCACGGCAGCAGCAGGGCCTGGCCAGAGGGTCCCCTCCTGCACCAGAGCCACGCACCAGCAGCTGTGCAGTCCCAGGATCACAAGGAAGGCAGGGTACTTACAGCAAAAGCCATGGCTGCTGCTTTGTGCCCTGAGGTCTTTTTTCCCAGGACAAGGAAGAGAGAATTGTGCTAAATGCATCTATTTAATCCAATTTACAGAAACAAAATCCTGAGAGGTTCAAAGCTCCAATGTTTACTCTATCAGGCTTATTTCTGGGATAAATAAACCTTCAAAATCTAAGTCTCCACTGAAAACATCTAAACATGCTAGTTGAAGCTGATGAATAGTTAGCATTTGGCAAAGACAAAGCACGAATCCATAA